TCTGTCCAGGGGGCTATGCTGCTCTGGCCCAGGCTTGTCTGTGGGGGAACCGCGGTACCGCGAAGCTCACCTGGTCCGCGTCTTCCCAAGCCGTTTGGGGGCCGGCCACTGGCGGCCCGGGGGCCTCCTCGGTTCTCCGTTTAACGTGAAGTGGAGATTCTCTGCGCCGGCTCTAGCCGCCATCTTGGAATTCTTCCTTGTCCTTCTTTATTGAGTGCATATTCATTGTTCAAAGAGGTTTCATCATGGTATTTCACCAGTGAGTATATTGTATTTTAACCAGCCTAACCCCATTTATTTCTCTTCCTTACCCTTTCCTCCCACCCCTGTTATTCAACAGCTTTCACTGTGTTTCGTTATGCTTTCTTCCTACACAGATGCAGTGTATTTCAATGTTATTTGCTCTCTACCATTCTCTTTTCTTCTCCTTCCTCCTCCTAGGCCCCCAAACACTCCCACTGTTACAAAAAAAAAAAAAAGTAAATAATTTTCAATGTAAGAAGTAACTAGTTATCAACTTTTATTAATTTTCTCTACAAATGGTACATTTTGGCTCTTGGTTGCCAGCTGTTTGTTTTTAAGTGGTAGAAAGAATTGAAACTATATTGAATATTGGTGTTCAAAACTGAACTTTTCCTACTTTTTTTTCATTCAGTTATTTGGTGATGTTTGTTTCCACTGCAACCGTGTCATAGAAGGTGATGGTAAGTATCTGTGGGTCTTAAGTGGGAGCATTTTGACACAAAAACACTTGGGTAATGTGAAAATGGTTGATTGTTGCTATTGCTGGAATGTGATCATTATCAGTTATTTATTTTCTCTCTCTCACTCTCTCTCTCTTTGGCATATTTCCCAAGTAGTGTTTAGCAGTGAGATAATAAAACCCAAGAGTTGAATTATTTACTCATTTATTGAGGCCACTTCCGCAGTGTTGCTGGCCCAATAGATACGGGAAGTGTTCCTGGTGGACCCTATGATCTGTTTGTATTTCCAGTGTCTGGCAGCACTGGCACAGTGTTTACTTGGAGCAGTTTAATCTGTGGCAGTCAGGAAGTCACTTCAACACTGTGCCTGTCATCTGCAGGCTTTGCTGGGATTTGCCACTCTTGTGCAGAGGTTAAGCAGGGCAGATTGACTGGAACTGAGGGGAAGCAGCTGTGTTTGCTAATAGTCTCCAGCATAATTCTGGCAGGCACTTCCTGACAAAGTTTTAAACAGTCTTGTTTTCAGCATGCTTCATGGTTCTCAGCAGACATCACCTAACTCAGGAAATATTTTGTGAAACACCACTCATATGCAGTTTGTAAAAAGTTAGTTCAGGAAAACAATCTTTAGTGCTAGGAGACAGTTATCAGATAAATGAAGCTATCAAAGCTATGTTTTTGCCAACTGTGGTAGAAAAACTCCTAAGTTAATGACTGGATTTTAAAAAATTATTTATCTAGTTTATATTTCTTTGTTGGGCAAACAGCAATGGGGACATCAAGCGTGCTGTCTGCATGCTTGTCAGAAAAGCCCATCTGAATGATGCCATCCACCTACAGATGGCTGTGCACAGCTGAGGGGCATAATCTTTGGTGTCACAGATTCTTAAGGAAAAGGAAAAATTAACTATAAAGATTAGAAAGGGCATAAATAAACTTCCCCAAATTGAAGCCTACAGTCACAGAAGACTGTAGGTGCTTGGTTTATATATATATTTTTATATAATATATTTTTTTTTTAATAATGTGAAAAAGTGTAAATTTTTTTAAGATGGATTCATACAAAGCACTTTTATGGCATTGAGCTTTTTTTTTATAAGAACTGAATTTTATTTTATTTTTTAATTTTTATTTTTTTTTTATTCATATGTGCATACAATGCTTGGGTCATTTCTCCCCCCTGACCCACCCCCTCCCTGGCATTGAGCTTTTTAACCATGTGATTCTTTTGTGAGAAAATGTCTCAAGAAATAGGTTCTTGAGACCCTCCTCCAGTGGTTTGGGAGAAACTTTCATCCTGTTTCAGTGCTCCCTCTTTCCATAGCAGGATGTGTACTTCCATGTGACCAGGTCTTTCTCTCTCCTTAGTTGTCTCTGCCCTCAACAAGGCCTGGTGTGTGAGTTGCTTTGCCTGTTCCACTTGCAACACCAAACTGACTCTCAAGTAAGTCCTCGGTCTGGTCCTGTGTAACTCCTAAGGCTGAAAACTTTGGGGTGATGTTTAAGAAAATATTCCCAAAATTTTTTAAAAAGAGAATAATTTGATTCCTTAGGCCTTCTTAAAAACAAAGGTTCTTCCTTTAACTGTTCCCTATTCCTTCTTTGTTCTGCTCAAAGGGATAAGTTTGTTGAAATTGATCTAAAACCTGTCTGCAAACACTGTTATGAGAAAATGCCAGAAGAATTTAAGAGGCGACTTGCCAAACGGGAGAGAGAAGCAAAGGATAAAGACAAGCAAAAAAAGAAAAAGCCAGTCTGTTTGTAAACTTTTCTATCCCTCCTGTCATCATCTTCACTAATTTCTTCCTTGGTTAGTCCTTTAGAATATGTTTTTGTTCTGCTTCTGTCTTTTGCTTTTTTTTTTCCTCTGTGCATGCTTTTGTGATCATCAGAGATTGAAATACTTGTCCTGTGTGGAGTTGGTCCTGTTGCTTAATTATTAAAATTATAAAAATTAATAAGGTCCACACTTCATACTGGCTGTGTGCACTATTTCCCTTCCACTTGTATACTCACTTACCTCCTTTTCTAAACCATACTGTGGCAAAGACACCTTTTCTCTCAAGAGGAAGATTTCCAATCTTTTAGTTGATAATGGGAAAAGTTTTAAAGTATTTTTATCTGACAACTGCAGCTTTTAAAATCCTAGTCTTTGATTTCTTTCCCTGAATTCATTTAATTGAGAAATTCTATATGTTTGATGTTTTTAAAACTACATGTGTTCTAAGTTCTGTGTTAAGCTTTCTCAGCATGTTTCATATCTAAGCAAAGTCAATCTGATGTACATAACAAGATACCTGTTCTCAGTGGCCTTTGTGTCTGTGCTTTCATACAATGCCCCTATGCTACTGCTTATGAATTCTTTCTCTAATGTCTTCAAACTCTTTTACTCTTGGTTTTCAGGGGAAGTATTTCAATCTTTGACATTCTGTTGAATTATTGGTATGATTAATTTTTCCCTCATGGTTACCATTGTGTTTTGATCACTAAAAACTTCTGTTGTTTCAGTTTCCATGTTTCCTTCTGTAGAGGAATTACAAAGCAAATATAAACTTAAGACAATGGAGCACTTGCTAAGTAGTCTTTCTAAAAGCAGAATAATTTATATAAACTTTCATCCCCAAAATGACAGTTTTAATAGCTTTTGTTCTGAGGAAACCTAATCAGGCTATTTAAATCAAGCTTGAAGCTTTTGATTTTCCAGTTGAGATGTAACATTTCGGTCATATCAGCATTCACTTCTCTGTGGAAAATAGTATTCTAAAATCAGAAAATTAAAATATGTGGTTAGGAATTAACCTTGCTATTAACATTGTTCTTCAAAATTACCTCAAAGTAAATAGTTTAGTTTAGTGTACTTTAAAAATGCATTAAGACTTACATCTACATATTTTGTAATTATTGTCATAGATGACAGTGTTATTACTACACTTATTCTGCAAATGCTTTCTAAGTATAATTTCATAGCAAATAAACAGGTTATAAAGTAATATATTTACTCAACTCAAAATTAAAGACTTTGAATTCATTATTAATAAGCCGCTGTACTTTTCCATTGGAAATGCATTAGAGATGGTCAGGAAACCATAAGAAAAGTTATTTTCTCCAGGACTGTTTACAAATACATTAATAATGTATATTGTTGTAGCTTTAAAAAAAAAATGAGTTCTCCATAATTGCCATCGGCTGTAAAATACCCACAACCAAGCTGGTTATCTTTGTGTTCAAGAGTAATTAAAAACTTGTTGGGAATGGTGGCTCAAACCTGTAATCCTAACCTCTAGGGAAGTAGAGAGCAAAAAGTTTGTAAGACTCCATCTTGACCAGGGTCTGAACTTGATGGTACACACCTGTCATCCCAGCTACATGGAGAAGCACAAATAGTATCAAGACAGTTCAGGCATAAAGCGAGACCTTACTTCAAAAATAACTAATGCAAAAAGAACTGGTAGAGTGACTCAAGTGATAGAACATTTGCCTAGCAAGTTGAGGCCCTGAGTTCAACTGTCAGTATCTCCAAAACAAACAAACAAACAAAATAACCCCAAAACAAACTTTCTTATATCTCCCTTAGTAGCCTTTTTGTTAGACAACCAAAATAACCCATTATGAGTTACGATCTTTTTAAAAAAGATTTAAGGTGATTTTTTTTGTGGGAGGAGGTGTTAGGGCATAGAAAGAAAACCATTTTATACCATGAAAGATAAAACCTTATAGCTGCCTAATTTTAAATACTTAGTGAAATCATTTTGCCTCTAATAAATAAATCATTCATATTACAAAAAACTCTTTAAATAAATTTATTCTTTAAGGTATTCTTATGGTACTTTAAAATTTGATTGGCTTTACATAAATTATATTTACATTTGGTTTCCTGTTTAATTAGCACTGAGCAAAACAATATATGTTCTGGCTAGCAAAGTAGCTCAAGTATGAATGCCTACCTAGCAAGTGTGTGGCCCTAAGTTCAAACCCTAGTACCACCCAAAAAAATTAAGTATATATTCTGTGTTCTTCAACATGTACTTTTATACTGGAAGAGGATTGTTTTTAATACTAACTTTAAATCAAAAGTAATGGGATTTTGTTTGTTTGTTTTTGTTTTTGCATTGCTAGAGGTGGAACCCAGGCCCTGGCACATGCTAGGCAAGTGCTCTATCACTGAAACACACCCAATCCAAATTATTCTGTTCTATAAATGTAAGGAGAAGTTTTTCAGTTGATATCATCAATTTTTGCATTTACAAGGGTAAGAATTTAAGAATAGAATGACAGTTCTTTAGTATCATGAATATGGGTGTTATTTTATAATGTGTTCATTTAGCTCAATGAAAATGCTTCACATTGTTTATATGTTTATGTTGAATACTAATTTCTTTTTTTGTATATAATATCTTCAGGAATAAATTTGTGGAATTTGATATGAAGCCAGTCTGTAAGAAGTGCTATGAGAAATTTCCATTGGAGCTGAAGAAAAGACTGAAGAAACTAGCTGAGACTTTAGGAAGGAAATAACATTCTTCATTTGTTCTCTTCCATGCAAAGTTTAGAGATAACCAACATTACTTGTCTTGATCTACTCTTACTTAAAGCTAAATCTCAAGGCAGTTGAGAGGGAAGAATGGTTGTCTTCATCTCTTTTTCTCATTTAGAAAAACTGTATAAACGGATGTAGACACAGATAGAATGAAGATTTGCCTTTGTTTACCAATACCAGTTAGTTGACATGTAGACAATACAGGAAAAAAGTGCATGGTTAAATGTTAAATTTTAATGGAGACTGCCAAAATTAAATACAACTTTTCAAAATGAAAAGAGTCAGCTTTTACATGACTCACATTACAAAATAAACATTTTGCTTTATGTTCAAAAAAAAATTACTCCCACTGTTAGGGAGAATATGGGAAAGGAAAATAACCAACACATCTTACACAATTTTAGTGTGTTTATCAGACTAATAGTTGTAAAATGAATATACACATCTAAGAAACAAGTGTATTCAGAACTACTTTGTTAAATGCAACAATTATTATGCTTAGTTATCTATTTTAGTTTCCTCTTAAGCTTTCTTTGTACGAATACTTAACACAGTAGTGGTAGCTAGCTAGTATATATCTTTTAAATTTTTGTGCAAAAAAATTATACCAGGTATCTGAATATACAGCATACTTTGCAATATTGGGAAAATGAAGTCCTTTTAATGTGATACAGCAATTGTGCTTCTAAGCTTAATGTCAAACATATAGTATATGAATTAACATGAAATTGAATATTATGTAGCTTGGAATTATCATTTTTTGAAAAGTGGATGTATATGTACTGATCACATTGCCTTTATAACCATGCCAATATCTATGTTTTGTGCATAATCAAACTTGCCTTGCCTTAGAAAACACGTCTTCATCAGGAATTCTAGCTATTTCATATAATACTGGCCAAAACTAAGTGCATTGACTGAGACCAGTAAACTCAAACTCATTTACCACAGATATAATTAAAATATTTTCTTAGAAGCCCACTGAAATTTAATTACTGTCATTTTATTGGACGAGAATGATGTTGATACTTGTTTCAGGTTTTCCATTTCAAATATCGTAATTAATTGGATTTTTTTACTGTAAGGAGGAAGTCTAAGTGCTACTTTTATATGGGAAGAACATTGTTTTTAATATTAACTTTAACTCAAAATTAGTGGGTTTTTTGCTTTTTTTTTTTTTTTTTTTTTGCAGTGCTACAGATTAAGCCCAGGGCCTCACACATGCTAGACAAAATGCTCTACTACTGAGCTACATTTTTTTAAAGTTGGAAGACATTAAGAAAATTAAGCCAGGCATCAGTGTTCACACCTGTAATCCTAGCTACTTAGGAGGCTGAGATCGGGAGTATTGCAGTTTGAGGTCAGCCTGGGCAAACAGTTCACAAGATTCCATCTCAGCCAATAGCTGGGCATGGTAGCATGCACCTGTCATCCCAGCTGAGATCGGAAGGATCTAGGCCAGCCCAGGCAAAAACGTTTGAGAGACCATCGTTTCAACAAAATAAAGCTGGGTCTGGTGGCACATGCCTATCATCTTAAGTGACAGCGGTAAGTGTACAATAGGAGGATTGTGGTCCAGGGCAGCCTGGGCAAAAAGTGAGCCCCTGCCTCAAAAAAACCACAGCAAAAAAGGATAGAGGTATAGCTTAAGCAGTAGAGCACCTGCCTAGCAAGCACCAAGCCCTGAGTTATAACCCCAATACCACCAAAAATAAAAAAGGAGGAATATCATTGGGGTTTTTTTCCCCCAGAATATGCCATAAAGAATATGCCATTAAAATACTTATATGCATGAATTTTTAAGAATTTTGATCGTGCACATTATAAAATAAATACTATTTTAGTTTTCAGATAACTTGTAGGCAATTTATTTTTTAGGGTTCTTTTGAAGTTAAAAGAACTGTGATAAATGATATAAAATAATCAATATGTAGTTTAGGATTTATGTGGTCAGTAGTTTAAAACAGTCTTTGCATTTGACAATAAGAATCAAAATTCCTTGAGTGTGCCTTTGTTAGCTATTAATGACCAGCAATGAAAACCTTGAAAGTATTTATTAAATATTATACTATGCGTATAGACAAAATAGGACAGAGTTTGTACAGGATCTTTATGTCAAATTCATATATAACCCTCTATCAGAAATACGGAGCAGAAAAGCAGGCATTTATGTATGCTCAGTCATTTTGGAGATGCATGAACTGAACTTGACTGCCTTTGTTTACATGCCATATATACTAGGCATCTCCTATAGCCAGAGGTCCCATGAGTTAATATTTCCTAGAAGTTCAATTTATTAGGCCTCTAATGGGGTAATCTAGATTACCCTAGATACAGTACTTTCTTCCTTGATACATGTGGGAAAGAAGGAAGTAGTTGAAAAGGATTAGGTGGAATAGAAGACAAATTTGGTCCAGTTCATAATATTTTCCTTGGGACTTACCTGGCTGCTGAGAAACTTGGGTCAGTAAGCATCTCTGCTTAAAGTCCTACAAGGCAATATGAAGTAATCGCTATTCTTTCCAAATGTCTAAGTGTTCTTCTTTCTAAGTATACCTAGTGTAATTGGGAACAATGTATATAAGTAAAATATTTTTTGGATCATATTCAAAGTCTCATTAATACTGAAATAATATGTCATTTTGCCTCATCCATTTGCCAAAACAGCCATTTCTAAATGGAGGAAATTTTAAAGTAGACTTACAGAATTCTTGCATTTTATTTTAGATTGTAAGCTTAATGGCAGGGAACTATATTAATAATTGCATTTTTTTATATAGCAACCATTGCAGTATACTCTTGGTGCTTAATAAATGTTCATCATTATTAATAATGTATTAAATGTACATCATTTACATGTACATTTATATGAATGGCATATGAAGATTCAAATATCCATATAATATAATAAAACATTCATACATATGAATAAAACAAAATGGCCTGGTTATTATGTATAAACCAAGTCTTAGCACCATATAGAAGGGTGGTAGAATCTTGAGAATAAATTGCTGAACAATTTATTGAGAATAAATGCTGACATATTTTGATTCTTAACACAGGACATACATATCTTAATATACAGTGCAGCCAGCCCTGGGCCACTGTGTGCTTCGAGCTGGGGGAATGCTCGCTGCTGGGCACTTCTCTTCCAGTGCTCCGGCTTTCCCTGCCCCTTTCCCTGCCTTAAACTCCCTGATCATGGAGATTCTTGGTTAATTCTGTCAGTTAAGTCTCGCCACTCCTTTCCTCGCCTGGATGGTGAGGCAGTCCATAACACCTCCTGGTAAGGAGGTGTGATAGTGTAAGCAGAGTGGCAGGACCTCCAGGGGCCCAAGAGGCTTCCTAAAGGAGCTAGCCCAGCGGGGAAGGAGACCAGCAGCGGGCCTCTTAGCCCTCTTCATTTCCCATTTTCACCACCACCTACTATCCATGCTCTCAAGCTAATAGCAAGTTGAGAGCACAACCTCCAGCTACCATCACATCTCTGTACTCAAAAACCCATCACCCCAGTTATGTAATGAAACCTTTCCTCTGCTCCTGACTGGCAACACCTGCTTCCTCCAGGCTGTCAGCTCTCCTGGCTCCTTAACCTCTCCTTGGCTCACTGAGACAAGCAAGATGAAGCCCCACCTCTTTCCCATGGCATCAAGGGCTTCCATGGGAGGCCTCACCTCATTGTGAAGTTTTCTTTCTATCAGTGGCCAGTGCACATGCCACACAGAATCAGTTGCCAGATCTTGACTGGCCTCTTGTACCCTACTCCTGAGATTCAGCTCAAAAGTCATCCCGTTTGTGAAGTCTGTTCCAGATTATTCAAGTGCAAGGAGTTACTGTGCTCTTTGCTCTCCTAGCACACTGAGTGTGCCTCTCTCAGTGGTCATGCTGTGTGCACAGTCTAAGTCCTGGCTTATGTTCTCACTGTTTCCTTGAGGGCAAAGTTGGTTTCATCTCTGTCCTTTGTGCCAGCCTAGAGCCCGATACATGACATGAGCTGAGTGCTTAGGCAGTGTGCATTACACCTTTACCTGTTTCAAGGAGTCTAAAAAGCTGTGATTTTTTTTTTTTTAGGTAAAAGAAACTAAGCTGGGCATGGTGTGCACACCTGTGGTCCTGCATGATTGGGAGGCTGGGGCTGGAGGATTGCTTGAGCCTAGTAGTTTGGGTCAGCTTGGGCAGCAAAAAGTTTTTCCTGTGTTGTCCAGGCTGGCCTTGAACAACTGGTCTCAAGTGATCCTGTTGTCTCAGCATCCAAAGCATCTGGGACTAAAGACATACCACTATGCCTGGCTCAGATTTTCTTCCTAAAAACATGCCTTCCTTGCTTAAAAATATCTATTTGGGAAATGCTAATAATCTAAAAAGCAGTACCCAAAATCGTTTATTGGGTCATCATAAATAATGTGCATAAGACTTTTTTAAAAGATGGAAGAAATACATCAATTGCTATGAGAATGTTTTTTCTATTTTTGTTTGAAGTTTACTTTTTTTTTTTGGCAAAGGAAAAGGGACTGTACTTAGGTCATGTTTGTTTAGATTGCCAAAATGTAATGGAAATGCTAACCATTTTTATAATGAGAAATGCTATTTTTGAACATGTTATATGAAATGGGTTAAAAATGCATCCTACAACATTATTGACTTTTTTTTTTTTTTGGCAAGATTTTCCCCATAAATAGAGTGATGGTATGCTTAATGAGTACATGTCTCAATTATCACAAATTCTAACTTAGTAAAGCTGAAAGTAAAGTGTTCACCTTGATGAGAAATCACACCTTGTAAGAAGCCAATTATTCTTATAGTAAAGATTAGTGGTGTTCATTAAGTGGAGAATCTTCCACTGGATCCTGTGGCATCAGGTATTCTGTTGCTGGGAGTGTAGCTCAGTGGTAGAGTGCTTGCCTAGCACACACAAAGCCCTGGGTTCAGTCACAGCATGACAAGCAAAAATGAAAAAGGAAAAATAAGTCTTATATGACAGCAAGACTGGAAAGTACAGCAGAGATCCTAAGGGCTGAGATAAAGGAGAGTTACATTTTCTCTTTTGAAATGCTGAAACCTCCCCATGGATTCTGACTGAAATCCCAGGTCAGAACACAGTAACCTACTGCCCTGTGCTTCCAGTGTCCACTGGAAACCCCAGAAGTGGGGAGAGGTGCATGTGTGGAGCCACTGAGCTCTGAACCATTGATCAAGGCTTAAAGTTAGCCCGTCACAAGCAGTATTTGGAGCTCTTTGGGAATAAGTTCATTACCAGCAGGTTAAGTCATAAGATTTAAGAAAGGATCCAGACTCCAAAGAATGTTAGAGACGAGCATGAAAAGAACAGCTTATTAAAATGGCACATGGTTAGCATCATATCAGACTTCAAAAAAGATGCCACTATTTTGAAAACCATTCTGCTCCCAAACCTTTAGTCACGCTCGTCAACATTGGTCTCTGTTTTTGAAATTTTTACATGTCCATTTCTCTCAAGTTGTAAATTACTTCACAGGACAGCTAGGGCCTTCCTTCTAGTTTTGTGTACCTGTAATGAGATGTAAACTGTTTGAAACTGATCTTCCTGGCTTCCCTATCAGAGCACAGGTATAAATTAGGAAATAAAAATCTTAAAAAGACCAAAATGTATACAGAATTCCATATTCTGAGGTTGTCTTTACTTATAGAAAGATCCTTTAGGATTTTTTTTTCTTAGTCTAAATTCATACACAATTCCGACAAGCTCAGTGTGTTACCTATACCTGATACAAGGCAGCAAATTTGCAGTATTTCAAGGCCCAGGGCATAGTGTAAATACAGGGCTCACTTCCTCATGTTTCCTGTGCACCATCAAGATCATCTTTTAATAATGCATTAAGGTCTCTTTCTTTTCCAGATCAGAATTTCCCTGCATCTGCACTCAGACACCCGGATTTGACTCTAGGGGTGGGATACACACACGGATTTGACTCTAGGGGTGGGATACAGGAGGCATGGGATAGGTAAGGCTTAAAATTCCAAGGACTGGACTAGAGTAAAACAGGTTTTCACCTAGAAAAGGAAAGTCAGAACCAGAACCATGGAGGCCTCGGTCAAGGTGGGAGGGAAGGTTTCAGAGTTTTCAAAGCTC